CCTCTGTGACCTTGACTTCAACAATATGAACCTCAACTTTAAAGGAAGAACTTAAAATCAAACATTTCATCAAAATATGAGTAAAGTGTTCTGTACCCACCTGAAAAAAATCCTACGAAAAATTACTGGAACTACTGTTTGTGGCCTTGACCCATATACAGCAGAACACTTGTCATTTACAATACTTCATTTCTAATCCTATAAATTCTACTGAGTGAAAGATTTCTGTAAAAACCATGAATCAAAACAATGTTTCACTTGCATGATTCTTATCTAGTGTTGGGAATCAGTTGCCATTTCAGGATCATTTATCAGATCATCTCACCCGATCAATAATTGATTAATAATCGTTTATGAGAAGGACATATATCTCCTTTTCTGCAATGATAAACTGATAACATTATACATAAATAAAGATAAGAGTTGCTGACTACCCAATGGAAAACAATATTTATTTTACGACACTATAGTGCTAATATTGACTTGTCTCTTTCATCTAAACCCTTGATCACTTCGAAATGTTTGTTAACAGGATCGAGATTTGAGACTTTTTCCTGCCATAGATAGGAAAACATGAATGTCACCTTTAATTTAACTGATGATAAATCATGAAAGTTTGTTGTCTATTACCATGAAAATCCATGTAATGTGATTTTACCATTTTTTTTATTGGAAAAATCAAAGCTTCTGTGAGGCCACCATCGTTGACTGTCAGAATTATCTGATACAAAACTGGCACAAAAAGGACATGACCATTTCTTTATGAACAACAGTAATAAATAAGATAATTACTGTATATTTAAATGCAAATAATCCGAGTCAACATCACGCAAAATCAGGACAAAATGGTTAAAAAAAGTTATAGTAACTAGGAAGACAGGAAACTAATGATTGGTAAAGACAGTCCCTGTTTGGTCCGTTGAAAAATGTCAATAAAAAAAAAGAGGAAAATCTTTTGAAACACTTACATGTTCAACTGTTAAGAAATGAACAAGTTTCATTTTATTCTCCCATACAAACCAAAGCCATGAGCACATTCCATTTTGATGTGGATTGGTGAAAGTTAACATTGATATATCAGAATGCTGAGTGCAGATTGAGTCTTATGATCCAACTAAGGAATTACTTCATTATTAAGGAAGGAATAGTCTTGGAGGGATTACCTTACCAAAATGTGTAATGTAACACTGTAACACATATGCATGGCTAATACATTCCGTGGAAGGCCATTCCAGGCTCTGTATACTGATTGCTTGCATATACAGAGTTGGGGCCTCAATTTAGGACAGCTGGCACATGCACAACATGACAGCATGACATGAAAGAAAACATGACTTGCAGAAATCATAATTACCCGGTTTAATTAATAACAGGTAGATAATGACTTGTATCTGTGATTTCAACACTGAACACTGTTGATTTGGCTTAGTGTGAAGATAAGCATTTATGTACTTAAGATAAATAAATATGGATTAAATAGATAGGTAAGGGAATGATAAAGTGTACTGTAACATGTCTGATGTCAAAGAAAACATCATGTAGTTTCTTCTTCCGTTGTATCGTACCTATGGTAAAACAGGAAGTAATTAAAAGTCTGTAAATGAGATGAAAATAAATTTTGAGGAGAATATTTTCAAGTTTTGGACTTTCTATTGTTGGTCTGATGTATTTAATGACGTTCTGAGATCAATTTCTTGGCTCCCCGAGATACATTTGAACTGAATTTCTGAGTGTGCACATTATGCAAGTAGAAGCATTTTTTTACTATTTTCAGTCCAAAAAAATAACTACACACAGTACGCAAGTTTTTATGGAAAGTAGTAAATCAAAATGGTGCAACCAACCAATACTTGATGAAATTGAATAATTGGAACATCACAACTTTTATCAACACAAAGACCACCAACCTATAAATACCACTTTGCTTACCTCCCTTGGGGGAATTTAAAGACAGTTAAGACTGCACACTAAAGAAAGGGTTTACCAGTTCGGGGCCTGTATGAACTCATCATCAGGAGAGTATTATAACCTGTGGAGTTTGATTTGAAACTTTAGAAATAGCTATGCCTTTAAAGTCAATTCAATAAATAGGTGTATATATCTACACGTGACTGTCCATAGCATGGTCATATGGTTGTGAGTTACAAGTTTTGAAGCATGACTCCATTATGACACACCTTTAAACAGCTTATACAGCATTTATTGTGTAGTCAGGTGTTTGCGGCTTACCTATGTATTGAAATGTAGTACATGGATGTTGGCTAAAACAAAACACAGCCTTCTAAACTTCCCCATCAGATATCTGTCAATAAAATTCTCTTTTTTTCAAAAAGAGAAGCACTGCCTCAATTTGCCAATGTAAACAGCTGCCTAGTCATAAATTTAAAGGCAAAATATCAATGAAAATGTAATTGTAATAAGATGACAACACAATCTGGAACTCTACCGTACGTATATGCGGTCCTTAGAGTCACAAAGGTTCAGATATAGGACAGTAATGTCATACCTCTAGAATATATAACTGTCACATTATATCAGCCATATGCAAAATTATATGTAGATGGACTTACTAATACTCCTGGTAGGTTGTTTTTTTACAAAAAAAAAGTAATTTCTTCAAATTTTAATCTTATACTGAAATAATTAATTTGCAGGAGATTTTCCATTTTGTCATCTATAATATAATGTCCCTTAAATTTATGAATATTTCTTAGAAAAAAGGAATGAATATAGTTTCATGATTAAGAATCATAAAAAAAAACCTTTTTGCATTACTTAATTGAAATAAAATTATTCTAGAACAATTCACCTGTCTATCTATTACATTTGGTTACATAGTTAACCTATATGATGAACTAAGTCATTGCTTGTATAACTGAATAAAAACAGAATTTCAGCAACACAAATTACACACGTGTTTATGCTGAGAACACGGCAATTCATCACATAGAAGATCTAAAAAATCAACTCAGTGGTCATGCACAATAATTCAATTTCCTGTTTTCTGTGTGTTTCACAGAATCCAGCTTAATATAACCTACTGCAACAGTGCCATCTCAAGGCGGTCATTTAGCATGACAGATCCAGGATGTAGTTGATATGAGTGATAACAATATAACCCTTTAATGATACTGGTACTTAATCACTGGCAAACTTGAATTTAAGACTTTTTTTCTTTAAAAAAGAAAGTGCCAATTCCTTGATTATATTGAAATTTTAAAAAAAAGTTTGTGTGTTTTTGCTCCAGTAATTTCTGCAATATTTACCATAAGATAATAGTTAAAAAACAAATTATAATACATTTGCAGCTCAGGCACTAATCAGCCAGATCAATTTTGAAATCTTATCATACAATAGAATGTAACAGTTTGCTTCTTTGATAAATTCCTAAATACTGATTTTGCTTTTACAGGACTCTCTGATTATGTATACCAGGTTACAATAAGCACTTGATAATATCTTTCAAATTCACAAGTAATGGTACGTTTGTTATAAATAGCAATTGCTACCACCATTTCTGAAAAAAATTAATTTGAATTTACCACAGAAATTATGTATACTACAACTCACATAATTGTGGTAATTACATGCATTATGCATATTTCTCCCAATTTCAAAATTAACTTCAATTTACCACAGGACTTAAAAATATACTAATCTGTTAAGAATGGCTCCATACGCTATAATACCTACACAGACTTAGACAGGCAAATTTCACGAATCACCAGGAATGAATTCTCCACAACTTCATAGATTTTTTTCTATAAAACAAAAGCTGCAAGTGCAGAAGAAAGGGGACTTGACATTTAATCAATACTCTTTACAGGGAAAGTGGAGGTCCAAGTTTGGAGGCTCAGATCTTCTGATGCTGCTGTTATAGTAACCTAGTTACTACCAACAAATCTCTCTCCTCAGAAATCAATTGCTACGTCAAACAACCATCATTCATAGCTATACACAAACCTCATAATGACAAACGCTTTGTAAGTGGTGGAAAAATACAAGATCATAAAATATTTAGATGGAAGCTATGCACAAGAATTGTTCATTTGCTAACTGTATACTAATAAAACTGTATCGGGACCTATTGATATTACATCCATGGAGAATTTGTTATAAAGCACTATAAATACTACTGTGAACTGGCTGGCAAGTAAATGTATCAAAATAACATAGAACATTGAATACAAATTTCTTATAAATAAATTTAAAGACAATTTATATCATTTATTTCATTCTATAATTGAAACACGGACATGCATGGATACAGCTGCATTGTAGAGTGAATGCTACTTTCTTTTTGTTATTTTTTGGATACACATTTAACAGATTTTTATTGTGATTTTCAATTGATGACACGATTACAAAAATATTTAATCCTAACCTGACTGCAAAACTAGAAATGCTTTTTCTTAGTATATGCATTCACCTTCACATGAACCATGGAGGGATGGCTCTTAGGAGAAATCTTATTATGTTCTGCTACCCTTTAAGCGGTCATATCACATTTATGCAGTCATATCACATTTAGTATCTAAACTACTATTTCTAATTGGCATAAGTAATATCTATTTCATTTCAATCGAGTACATATCATTCGGGAAAGCGATATAAAACTATTAGATTTGCTTGGCTTGACATCGTGTCTGACAACACACAGATCTTCGCTTCAGCGATCCCGGCTGATTTCGTAACAGAGTTGACAGCTAACATCAGGCATTGCTGTCATTGTGGTCAAATGCCACTCAGATATGTATAGTCCTATATTTCAAGTTTCTGAAAAGAAACCTGAAAATAACATAGCCTACATATTTTCAAAGCTGCCACTGATAAATAATAAATTAATAATACACTTTGTTGATAGTGTATTAAAGACCAATTTCGTGTTCACTGTCACAGGTAAAAAATGTTTTCCCTCAGGTAATTTTGCGTTGTGAATTTCGTGATTACCTTCTGAGACCAAAACATTAATTTTAAGTGTTTATAAAAGAAAGTCTTACCTTCAGAGTACCCTAAATCCACAAGAATACACAGAAATATTGCTAAAAACACTACTGTACGAGGTGAAAGTAACTTCGTCAGCGCCATGTTTGTATCTCAAATAGTTTCACGCAATTTCTCGCGGAATGACCCGAAAAACCCCGAGAGTTTCCAAATTTAGTACAATGTTTTGTTTTGGTCGCCTCTGATTGGTCAGTGTTTACACACGCAACCGTCCGGGAAATTTGATGGTGGAGAGAGCCTGCTAAAGATACGCAAGCTGCATTTTGAAACGTGGTTGAAGATATGAAAAATTGAGACAACATTTGTTACATCTCAGAAGATCTGGACGAAAGATTATTACACAGAACGTTGATGAGGTGGTTTATTTAACGAAATAGACCTGGTAAGTCAGGTGAAGGAAACATCAGCTCAACGAGCGGTCATGGGCGTCTGTTGACATTTTGAACGTTGATCACGATTGAAAGTCAAATGTTATGTTGTGGGAGTGATTTTCTCAAAAGTAATCTGATAAAATTGGCTAGTTGAAGAAAGCCATATAACATATTCCATTATTTGAATACGACACCCCAGATGCACTTGAAAAGTGGGCCTACCAAAAAAGCTGCGATTTGAAAGGTGCACAGACTATTGTAAACATTTTGGGATTCCATATTCGTTGAATGTAATCGTTGTTTAACAGTTATAATTTTGGCTGTCCATAACATTTGAAGTCATAAAAATGAAGAACATACCGCGGGATATGTTTGACAAAATCTGTTGTCATGGTTAAAACTTAAGTTCAGAACATGCGTAGATTTTAGTCAACGTAGAGTGTTCTCCCTTTAACTGTTATTTTCTAGGAAAATATGTAGAATTGATATAGTTATCAAATTTGTTAATGTTTATTTGTTGTAAACAGCTATTGGTAATAATAGTTTTAATGTAAAATTGATGATTAAGTGGGTAAGTGGACTATCACATAAATATCAAATGAAGTAAGAATTTTTGGGAAAACTAAATTAGTATTGCAAAGACTACAGCCTGCACACCAATTCTAACAAAATTCTGTTGTTTTAACTATTTGTAATCCAAATCAAAGGTTAGCAGGCACATTCTATATGAAAGAATAGGAAAAATTAAAAAAAAACATGTGTTAAGAGGTCTACCCATTCAAGGTTATCACTGATTCTATACAGGATATTACAAAGAAAATATTGATGGATAATCAGAGATAAGATTACATCAGGAAAGATCAAGCTAATTGAACATGTATTCAATTGGCAGTAAAGTTTTTATATGTGTCACCAGTGAAGAACTGTGCCTATATTTTGATAAACCAAGTGATGTTAAAAACAAAAACAATTTGATTTTCTCTGTGTATTCATAATTAACCAAAGAAAAGACAAAACACACAGGCACTACCAAAGTCAGCGTGATGACTCATGATATGGATGTTGTTATAACAAATTCAATCTGACATATACAGTTACTAAATAGCTCATACTGCCATGGCTGTTGTCAGTTCTGTCACATATACATATCAATAAAACTGTTATTAAGGTCTCTGGTTCTATTGAAACTTGTCAAAATAGAGGCTACAATTGTAACTCAAGTTTGTAAAAAAAAAAAAGAGAGATAGGAAATGCTGTTAGGATATTTTCAATATAAATATATAACTACAAACAGGGACTGAGTCTGATGCCAACAACTTTCAATATTTGCTGCCTATCTAACTCACAACTATTAAATATGGGTTATTTGCACTGAAACAAACTGGATTGCAGTGCCATAAGACACTGACATAGTTGGAGATTTCAGGTTACTCTAACACTAGGTAGTGACACAGCAGTTGATAGGTAGGCCTATAAAGTGCCCCACATCCTCTCCTTTCTGATCTTGACACAGCAGGGTGTCAATTGCTTCTAGCCACTGGAAATTACAGCTGACACAAAGGAAATAGGAGTGACCTGTGTTGCTTGCCCCTGGGAAGTCAGACAGGATAAAGAGAATTAGCATTAAGGCCTGCTGTCATGTGTTAATTTCAATTAAGTATATACACTTATGCATGACCAGATAAATTCTTTACTTACCTGGATGGGTTATGTCATACCTACTGGGGAAGAGCAGAGACCAGGACCTATGTCCATGGTATTTTAGGAAAGGGGGCTTATGAAAATTAGGTAAAAACTTGGGACCTAAGTATAAATTTCAAAGTCTTAAGTGTGATATATTTTGAAAGATATTATAATTATCCCTATTACTTGGCAATAGGCAGATGTTTTTATCAAAAATAAGTATTGCCAAGATTTTGATTAAATACCAAGTAAGAATATGTTATTATGAGAATTACACAGTATTTATGTTCATCATTTAAACAGTGCAACGTTTCAATGTTTAAACTAGAAATAAGATAGTTGTTTGTTCAGTTGGGAAATTAACTGCTTCTTGAATAGAAATTTAAATTCCACACATTTCAATAATGAAATAATTACTAGGATATTTTGGAACATTATCTTCAGGTTGCTAAAGTCAATTGAACAGAAGTTATTTACACAATCAGTAGAACATTAGAGTGTTACATTCCGATGGCTACATCTTTATCAGGAAAAAAGAAATAATTTTTTATTAACACTTATACAGCTCAAAATATCTTTGGAATATTGATAAAGTTATATTTTATGTTACAGTAAACTAAGAATGATTAAAACATCTGCAAAAAGCAGTACAAAGACTCCAACGACAAGCATGAGGTAATGTATACAATCATTCATATATTCTTCTCATGACACCATAAAGTTCTAGTAATTTATTTAAGATAATTTGAAAACATTTAAGCTGTTCATTATCTCCAAAATGCATGAAAATGTTTGACTGGGCATTATTAATATGTCATTAATTAATCAATTACCACGGTTCTCCTAAGTCAGAAACTTTTGGCAGAATTTCTAAAAAAAAATGTACAAACCTGACATTGATTGTTTTCAGGAATTAAATGAATTACCTAGGTACTATAAAATTTTTGACAAAATAAAATGTTTTATGGTTATATTAGGTTGTAACAATTAACAAACTTGTGAACTCTACTGTGTTATTTAAAAAAAGAAATGTGAATTTGTTATATTGATAAGTGGGAAATGTTCACTTAGGAATGACATGTATTTTGTCATTGCAAATTCATTTACATGTTCTTGCTTCCAAAAAGGTGCAGGATTTGACATGAGCTTTTGTGAAGACTTTCTATAATCAATGCACTATACTTTCAAATTATGTGCATATCTTTAAATGTACTTTAATAAAACCCTTTTTATTCAAACCATTTGTTATAATTTATAAAAAAAAAATTTTAAAGTGTTAACGAACCAAAACTTTCAAAAACCTGTTTTTATTCTTTAGATGTTTTTACTTCTATTAACTGGTGAGATTTTTAAAGTTTACATCAGAAGTTAATATTGAATACCTTTTATTAATTTATTACAGTCGATTACCAGTGCCTCGCAAATCTTCTAAGAAATTGTCACCCTTACCGGGATCTTGTCACAAGGCTCGCCCAGCCCCTAATTTCAGCAAGCTCCACAAGAACTGGCAGGACAGATTTGAGACTGGAAAAATGAGCGGAAAGAAACCCTGCACTGTGGTATGTATACTATCTCAACCAAACATATAAAGTATTGGTATAATTTGAAAAATGAACCATTCATGTTTTAACTTTTACCATTTCTGTCTAACATTAAATAAATATTGTGGTGACAGCCCAGAGAATTTGAGGTGACACGTCCAGGGACGAAATTTACACGAGATGGAGCAGACTCCGATGGAGAAAGCCTGCCAGATTTCGAGGCTGACCAACTTGCTCTGGAGTCAATTTTGAATGAACGAGGTGTTGGACAAAATAGGATCACAGGAAGAGCCACCGTGGCCACAGAAAAGCCAAGGTATGTTGAATGAAGGCTATTCCAGTAAAACATATGCTTGACCCCAGAACTCCATAATATTATAAAACTTCTATTAATGGTTTGGTTTCCTGTCCTTATTTCAAGTAACTTACTTAAATTCTTTGGATAATACTAACGGAAAATAAATCTTGATTCCTGAAGTGGGTTGGATGTTTTACTGGAATACCATCCTCACATGCTGTCAATCAGCATTCCCATTGGCCATGTACAAATTTTTTTAACCACAAAAGTTCAACTTGACCCCCTATTTTCTAGATTTTGAAATTGTAAATGATACAAAAATGTTACAAAATAATCATATTTACCCCATAATTTGAGCAAGTCGTAATCCTGTTAATGCTTAGACTTGTAGATGGACAGTAGATTTATAACAAATGACATTCAGCTTTCTCATGCAGTAGTTTATGCAAGGCATTGTTTGGACAGATTTCTATCAAGGAAAATCTAAGCTTGTTGCATGGTAGGTACTTCCTTTTTCAAGCTGAGAAGGAAAATGAAAAAAATGTGGTTCATGTTTTGATGGTAAAACTCTTGGTAGTGTTTTGCAGTTTGTGTTTGACATCACCATGCTGCATAAAAGTCTTTATGATCCTGAATTTTTTTCACATATAGGTGATATCACAAAAGATCATGATTTGTAAATTTTACCCCCAGTATTGGTAAGATGAAACGAAGTCGAAGTGCCCACAGTATTGGAAAGAGAAGAGTATTTGGAGAGCTAGCATGTGACCCTGAACAGAACCGAAATGGCCGTCGTCGTAGTAGAAGTGCAAAGAAAGCACTTGAGTTTTCAAAGGAGATTGAGCAATCTGCAGGTTGGTAATTGGAGTGTCTAGATGCTGTTTTAAGCATTTACTATGCTTGGGTCATTTGAGGTGCAAAACTAGAAATTTTTGACATTAAAGTTTATACAGGAACCATGATCATGTCTGACCCTATATCTGTCAAATGTACATGGCTATAGTAACTTTAAAGAATTATAATGGATAAAGTGATGGCAGATGAATAAAAAGGATAGCAGTTGATGGCAGCGGTAACAAATGACAAACAAATGGATGAAACTAAAGCAATGCTTTCTTCTTCATGAAATAGGGTTTATATTCAGTTATGTCATATTTATCTTCATTCCAATTCATTCTAGCTCTAATTACTGGGAAACATTTCAACAAGAGGTTAAGTGTATATTGTTAAAACATATAAAATGCTTTTGTCCCTGTTAATGTGTTACCATGTCTGTTGGTTTTGTTCCATCACATTGTGTCTCGTCTTGAGTCAATGTCACATCAACAGATTTGGTTCATATCTATACTATATTGATGTCTTAGAGATGTTTTCTAGTTTGTATTTATGTAAGTGTTTCGTTAAAGAATCAGAGTTCCAGCGAGATGACAAAGCCATGGAAAGTATCCTAAATGAAACCGGAATATCTGTAATAGGCAACAATCAACAGGGACGTCTAACATACGCAGGCCAAGCTTCTGGAGCAGCAATAACACAGGTGTCAAACTTTTGCTTTAAATCTTCTATGATTTATGGGGAAATGCCTAGCTTGATGTGATCCATTATATAATAGAATGTTGCAACTTTGCTGGTTGTAATGATGGCCAAATACTGAAATCTGCACCTTTGATAAGCCAGATTTAAGCCCTATGATATCAAAGGGTTAACGATTAGAAACTACTTAAACGACCAAGCATTCATTTGCATCCATTTTTTCCTTAACAACCAGTATTAGTTTAAGAATACAGAAAATACTCACACACAGATAAAATTCACTTATTTATTTCCTTTGAATCATAACCATGGTGCTGAATGGGCATCATGTACAGAGGACGAACCCAAAAGTCACTTTCAGAAGCAACCTCAAAATTTGAATTGAGTGCAGAAAGAGTTAATGAGTTTCCTCTATTAGAGTTAACTTTTACCTAATGCTCTGCTTAGTATGAGATGGGCCTACAGTATGTTATTCACTGAGGTAGACACCCATCACAAGACCTTGCCTCAAAATGGAGTGGTGAAATGATAGGTTGACTAATCAATGTACATGTATTCTCAATAGCAGTAGGTCAGAAGTATATTTTAAAGTCAATATCTATCACAATAGTTTGTTCAACTATCCATTGGTAACAATAATTCTATCACAAAACAAAAATGCTACTTGAAAGCAAGATTTTTCAACAAGGAATTGCCATTTATTTAGAAAAGCGTCTTCAGGACCTCGATCTGGGTAGCGCTAAATACAAGAACAGTGCGATCGCCTATTTGAAACAGAACTTTAAGCACAAGCTGTTACATTGATGAGAGTTTTATATATAGTGTTATATTGTTGTTTCCAAATGATGTAATGAAATCCAATGGGTCTAAATGTTTTAAAAGTTGGTGCAGCTGTACAAAGTTTTCTACTTTATCGTTACAGCCACACAGACAGGGTAGAAAAAAATGCAGCAACTTTCAAGATGTTTTGACACAAAAGATGCGCTGAATAAATAAAGTGCTAATGATGAGAAAACTCTAAGAGGGTATAACCTAGGGCAGGAATACAAACTGCTCTTGAACGCTATTCATCTAGGGACAGCATAAAATTGAAGTATAATATGTATCTTGATTAAAGATTTTATTGAAGCAATGAATAATATCTGTATAGGTTGTAACTTTCATGGTGGTATACAAGGCAGATTTCTAGGTAACATTGAAACGGGCTATAGCCACTGAATGTCTAGAAAGCTTCGATCATGTGACATCATTTGTGAGTAATTCAAAATGGCCAAAACGGGCTGAAAGGATGTCTTGTAAAACATGATAATTTTTTATATATATAGTGTCCTTAGAGCATTTTTGCTTTGCTGAAAAAAAAATGTCTAAGCTACCATTGTATTTTGGTATGGAAATGCATGCGATTGTATTTTTCAAACGAGACATCAAGGCAGGAGGTAGGTCCATCTGACTTTACTTCAGGGTAGGATTTATAGGGCTTGACAAGGGATTCCGATGACGGACATTGTCAAATGTCTGATATAAACAAGTCCGAAGGAAGAATCCCAAAAGGGATTAGGAGGACAGTAGTGGCATTTTAAAAATCATTCCCAATAAACAGCCTAAACACAGAGGAAGGGCAGCAGTATGGTTATGTGAAAGATTAATAAAGTGTAACAAAACAGATCACCATCATTTGGTAGATGGCTTATTTTCCTACTTTAGACCTATCCTTTATTTTTTGACACAGCTCTACCAACCATGTATGAAGTGTGTCAACCTTACTGTTAAAACCAAATAATCATATGATTATTGAATGAATCAGGTCATCACCTTTTAAGACATAAAACAAGTTTGAAATAAAGAAAACTTAAACCTAAATTTATTGTAAAACTTAAATGAAACCTATATGAAAACAATAGCTGTGTACAAGTTTCAGAACAAGTATCATGGCATGGCATGTTTATTTATAAAATGAATAATATGAAAATATTGAAAAATGAAACAAATATCACTATGCAGCCTACTTGATTGTACGAAAATGTATGGAGCCAGTGTGATAAATATTATCACTATAGTCACTTTGCTATCGCAATAATATTTCTTTTTCGGCTTCAATAGTAACCTTTAGTGAAATGTTATTTTCACACTTTGAACATTAAGATGTTTTTCTTCTTTACGTCAGACTCGTCAGTCCCTGTATCATGTACCACAGACAGACAGGATGTCCATGAGTAAAGCTATGACAGACTACCAGAATCTATTGTTGTCTAAACTGGGTTCCAAAAGTGCTAAACTCCAAACACCTACAGGTATATATTTATAATTGTCTGCACATCTTGTTACGATATGCTAGGAAGTTTTCACCCTCAAACATATAAACATATAGCATATAGACTCTTTTAATTAAGAAGATTTGCACCATAGTATAATAAAGAAAGCATCAACTTCCAACATCTACTGTTCGTTATAATAGCTATTATATCTGACAGACAGTCATATGATTTTGACAGTCAAAGTTTGTTATTGATATTTCCTGAGAATCACTGAAAGGATATTTCTAAAAAATGAAATGTAGATTCCCCTTGGTCTCTAGTTGTGCCTGGGTAATTTTGAGTTCAACCAGGACATAAATAAGGCTGGCAGGTGACCATCTTGGAATTTTACAGTGGAATTTTGTTATCAAGAAGTTGTTTTTGAGAAGTGCAAGACAAATATTTCTCAAACTTGATAAGTAGGTTCCCCATTTTCCAAGTTGTGCCAATTCAAATTTTTTTTGTTAAAAAAAACTATGGCTGATTGAAGACCATCTTAGATTTTGACAGTTGAAGATTGTAATTGCTATTTCTCAGAAAGTTCTTGTTAGATCCTTTTATGCTACCCAAAGTGAGAGCATATAATAGTTGCTTTGTTTGTCCGTCCATTATAATTTTGTCCTAAGCATAATACAAAAACTATCAGAGGTATCAACATAAAACTTCATAGGTAGATATATCTCAACAAGGAGAAGTACAGTGCACCAGAAACATCACTCTTATTGCATAATTTAGAAGTTATTGTCCTTTGTTATTTTTCATACTTAAATGTTGTCTGGAGCATTACACTAAAGCTATGAGAGATACAATCATGAAACTTCATAGGTAGACAAGTCTCAAAGAGAAAGAGAGCAGTGCACAATACTCATCTCTCTCTTATTGCCCTTTGTTATTTTTTATACTTAAATGTTGTCCCATTTAGGAAGCGTAACCCATCTCTGATGGCCCTTGTTTGAATAAGCACCTAATTCTCGGATCTTGTTTAACTGATCCCAAATATTTGCTAAAAAAATATGTTTTATTCAAAATTGAAATGAATAAGAGGTGTTAAAGTTCCATTTCATAACCGTTTGGAAAAGTATCCTTTTTAACTCAACTTGGTTGTAAAACTGAAAAATGCATGCAAAAAAATTACACATTCCATTATATTACAGTGATTAATTGTTAAAAGCATAGTCCAGTAATGCCTTTTTCTTCCTTTTTCAAATTGAAATGCAGAAGATATAAACTTTGGTAATTTTATGATTTTTCATGCTGAAAACTTCCTTTATTTCAATCAAAACTTTTATTTTGCCTTCTCCAGTTGAATCAGTGAATACCATCCTGGACAAATACAATGCCAGTCAGCTGATGCCCAAAGTTGTTCAGTCTCCATTTGGACGAACAGTGACCGCCCCAATGAGGAATTCCATCTATAAGTCTTACCAGATGCAATCAACTCTACGAAGTCCCCATCCCAATGTCTCTTCAGGCAAGGAGGACATGGCTGATGTTAATGCCCGCACGGTAATTATGATGGCCTCATATTCGCAAAAGTATCTCGGTAAAGTGTTTTTTGTTTTCTTTTCTTTTCTTTTTCAAATCCTTATTGGACAGAAACTTATTGTCACAGGACAATTTCCTCATGATAGTAAAGGTTTTTATTTTGCCTCAGACTACAAAGATAATTTAATTGATTGAACTTCAGTGGCACATTTATATTCTGTTGAAAAAATGGTCATTGAAAGTGAGAGTCAGCAAAACAGCTTACAGTTACAGAAGATTTTACCCTGAAATATACACCAATCTTCACATAGAACTTGCAAATTCTTTAAACAGATACATAAAGATCTTCTGATGCTGTGTTAGTTGGAAATCTCAGTTGGGAATTTTGAATTTTGAAACCTCAGCAGGGCCTTATTTTAGATTGTAAAAATCTTAGCTACAGAATGGAAATGACCATCTGGTGTAATGATGGCTTTTGCTGTGTGAACCGAAATTCTCAACCATCTATTGGGAGTTTTTGAAAGTCAAATCTGCAACAAAGCCTCATTTTAGATTGGGAAAATCTTATCGACTTGATGAAGATGTTCTCTTCTATAAGTCATGATGTGAATAATAGTTTTATCCTGTGTCAACAGTATTAAAGAGAAGTCTGCCAGATGGGTTAGGATGTTCTTGGCAGTTGTGATCAGAATAGAGACTTGACATGATTTCAGGTGCCAAAGATGGACTTGTAAACATTGGGGTTATTTAAGGATTTTAACAATCCTTGAAAGTAAATTATTTGAACAAGCCCAGAAATTTTCATGGATGTCTTGGAAAGTTGCATTTCATTTCATGATCATATAGTGCAGAATGGACCTCAAGTACATATAAGAATGGTTTTCAGTTTTAACTTTGGACAAATAGTAAAATAGACAAAAGTTAAACTTCTGCAACCGTTTCCCTTTATAAAATATCAGGGTTTTTTTTTTCAATGTTTGGGATGGGGTATTTTTGCCTTGTTGATTTTTTTTTTGAAATTTGTCAGTTTGGAGTAAAATTTTCAGAAGGAAATTGCAAATTTGGGGAAATTGGCTAAAATGATAATTAATACTGCAGAATTTTGGAATATGTAACATTTATAATGCAAATGAAGAATTTCACAATAAAAGACTTTGTGGAGTTTGTAGTCTGATTGCCAAATGGCTAGTTTTATTTTACTGATATAGGTGTTTAAAATATTCTTATATTTTCAGCCTAAGAGGGTTTTAACACGAGAGGCACACGACAGCTCTAGGAGGGCACCCTACAACTGTAAATCATCCTCAAAGGTATGATCAACCAAGTAAAGATAAGGACCAAATAATTGATGATAATTATTAAATTTAATTTTGGAGGTTCTATTTTTTCACAATTTTAAGGATAGAATGAAAGAGAGAAAAAACCTACCTAGAAATTAAAAAAATTCATTTCTAGACTTCTGCAAAAATATATCCACTTTAATATCCACTTTACTGAAAATTTGATAAAGGGGAAAAAAACTAAATTACAATTAATATACACATGCTTATTTTACTTCTTGGAGATCTAAAAAGATTCCGTAGAAAAGAAGATTCAGAAAAACTTCTATTAAATACAGTTATGTTTTCATATACAAAGAATCTTGAAGATAGGTTGGTGTTAGTATGGCCTTGTCGTTTATAAACGCATGTTTGGATGTCGGTCCCAATGTCCACATTATCTCTTGCAATTAACAACCATAGTTATTTTGACTCTTCAGATATGGATAGAATTTTGTACATCACAGTCTGTTAGAAAGATAAATTGAATACAAGTCTTTTTCTGGGATCTCTCTGGGGCCGCATATGTGCCCCATTCCCAATGAGATTTATTTATGATATTTCCGTGATATATAGTTTTCTTCTGAACATTTTTTACCATAGATAAATTTTCATTTGAAAATGGGATTTAAAAAATCTTTTCCAAATGATTGTGGGGAAAAAACTCTGGCACCGAGAAAAAAAACTTTAAAAAGAGAGAATTTTCTAACTTGCCATATACAAAAATCTATTTGCATGTATAATTGACAACCCGGAGAAAATGTATCAGGAGGACTTTTCAATTTTTTTGTATTGTAGAAAAATGTTAAATGGGCAGATGTCTTGAAAGATGAAGACAGCTGTGATGGTCCAGTAGCCTTCAAAAAGGTAGGTCAAGTTAGATAGACTAATATTATTGTTTTGGTGATCAAGTTAAAGCTGTTCTACTTTATCAGGGTAAATGGATTTGATGTGACTATGTCCCTTTCATGACAGTATCTCAGATATGATGGATGAGAAGGATTCTCGGTAATGAAGCCCAGAGGATAGGGAGAAAAACTTTAATCTGTACTTAATCTCTGCCATATAAAAAATCTGACTCAGAGATTACACACATTTTTAAGTTGACAAGTATGATTTAAACCCAGAATACTGAAATATACACGTATTTAAGAGACTTGTGTTGTCACAATGAGGAAGTGATTGACACGATACTACAGTTTCCAGAAGAGGAAACCATCCACACCATGGAGTATCAAGTCATCAATTATCAAACAAGCATGCTTTTGATATACTTGTGTCTCCTCATTTCAGAAGAAATATTTACCAAAAACTATTTTAATACCTTGCTTATTGCTCCTCAGTTTTCCCTTCAACAATTATCCTAGTTTTTTATCATTATATTTTTTGTTTCAGTTTTTCCAGTTCAATTAAAAAAAAGGAACCAACATATTTATTAAAGACCTTCACCATAAAAAACCTTGAAATCAATTTACTATTTACCTAGAATAGTTTTTTTCTTGTTGATTTTTTTTTCAACAATAAGAATGTTTGTGTCATTAAAGCTTAACACATCACAATGACTAGGATCCTATTCCTGCCATACAATCACTTTGAGGACTTTGTTAAACGTAACGATAACAAATATACCATTCCTGCTTATTGTAACCTGATGCAGAATATTGAAGAATGAGGTCTGAGTCATACTGGATAAGAAATTTCTTGGAAACACTGGTTTTATAGGAGTTCATGTTGTGATCTCTTCAGGGTTTGCTTCCTAGTGGTCATTTTGATGCTGGGGTATCTAGAGCACTCATAGTTGTCTTCCCCATAACATGAGATGGCTTCCAGAGAAACATAATCTAGCTTTAGTGAGATAGAACCACATTTTTTTAATGTTCACATGTCTCAGATGTGATTTCAAAGCTAGAGAACTAGTGAAGCTGTCTGTCTTACAGAGATGCAGTAGGAAATGTATTGAGGTCATGCAGTACTTGTGAAGTAACTAACATGCTGCTGTTCAGATTTAAAATCTAGGCTTAAAGCAGCACGCCTTCTCATAACTACAGAGGTCATATGAATAACTCCATTATCAGTTCAGAAGTACATTTACAATTTTCCATTACATCTAATTTTTAGTCCCTTCCTCACAAAACTTGACAGAGAATCCTAATATTTGCTATAGACCAGTTGTTTGTCTTCCTGTCCATTTGTCTGTACATTGCATTGAGAAGACATCTTTGATCCTTGTTTTGAAGTATCAAAAACCTACCTAGGATTCTCTGGAAACACTCATTGGACCAAATATGTTGTCCAGTTTTGAAAGAAGTCTAAGTTACGGAGTAAACATGAAATTTACTGGGATAAATTTATTTGTTCAGACGAAAAAGAAACAGGATAAGAAAGATTTCATTGTATCCATACTTGCACCACTGGTTCATATATTTCATGCTCTCTGAACAATTTTGGGGGAACATATAGTCGCTACCCTGTCTATCCTTTCAAATGTGGGGTAAAACTTTGCCCACAGTTAAGCAAGGATCATGGTCATACTAAGGGGATGTACAAAATTCTGAACCCTTGACCCCTCAATTTCAGAGTTATTGCCATTTATTAAAATTTTGTGTCCTGAGCATAACTTAGCTTGCATTTAAACTAGGGTAACAAAACTTGGTGTAAGCATTGATCATACTAAATCGATTTGCAGTGTACCAAATTCAGGAACCCAACCCCCTAGTTATGCAGATATGTAGAGCACAACTCTAAATTGCTTGCATTTTAACTAGAATAATGAAACTTGTTGGATATATTTATTATGCTAAACAATGGGCAGTGTACCAAGATCAGGGCCTCTCAGTTAGAGAATAATTGCCATCTGTTTAAAATATCTTGTCCAGACCATAACTTTGCTTGAAGTTAATGTATGAAGATGGTGTGCAGTGTACAAGTGTTAGGGCCTGGAGCATCTTAATTAAAGTTATTGCCCTTTGTTAAAAATTCAATATCAGAAGCATAACTTTGCCCACAGTTATGCAAGGATCATTAAAGTTAGTGTTCATATTGATCATACTAAGACAATGTGATGTGTACATCAGTCATACAAAAGCAAGATGCAGTGGAGCAAAATATGAGTCATTTTCCTTTATTAAAATTTTGTGTCATGGGCATAGGTTTAAAATAAGGATCATGGAACTTGGTGTATACATTTGTCATGTTAAGGGAATGTGCAGTATACAAAATTCAGAATTATGACCCTTTGCTTAAATTTCATGTACAATAAAGTTGCTTTTGGGGAGCATTCATCAGTTAAACTAATAATCTTGTCATGTGTATTATTTTTAAAGGAGCTAAGCAAGATATAGTGATCATTTATTATTATCAAAAAACTGATATCAAAGTTCACAAGATGATATCTGTTGACAGATATATCAGGTTCTTGGAAAAGCTGGTTTTAGAAATCACTGTTTAAACAACGAAATAATTTCTTTGTTGAATGTTTGGACTAGTTATGTGATCAGTTTTACAGTAGTGGGGATTAGTTATTGTAAGAAGTTATTGCTTGTAATGGGGGGAAATGACATTTCTAATTGTAAATTATACAAAAAACATTGGACAATATGACTGCACTTGTCCATACTGATACTGTTAACAAACCTATTTCAGCAGTGTTTTCTTTTCAGCATGTTTTGAGCACAAGCTTTGCTTAGATGTGATTGCCATAATTCCAGTTTTGCATATCATTAATGTAGCTGTATTATGTGTGACTTCATTATAGCACTTATTTGTTCAATGTTTGATTGTACCAAAATAAGTATGTTTAGTAATCCAAACACAACGCCATTATTTAGATGGTATTCAACAAGCTTAAGATTGCAGTTGTCTCTCTTTCAACTGCCACAACAGCACCCAAAATAGAATTTTGGTGGATAAAACCCTGAGAATTTTTTCCTTTAAAACCTGAAAAAAGGAGAGAGAAAAAAATTGTAAAATTCAATTTGAAAAAAGAAGAAAATAATAAAGTTTGTGTCTGCCTGTTTAACTGCAAGAGATTAATAATTAATTCAAATAGTCATGTAATTTTCAGTTATTTGTATGGTCTATGAACAGTTAATGATTTTGAAGGGAAATAACTCAAATGTCCTTATGGAATGTGTTTGAAGATATCTGCATTTGCTACTGCCCAGTTTGTTTTAGCACTGACAAGAAGACATCTCTGAAATCATTCTACCTTTCTCCTATATAAGAAAATGCTTTTATTGAAAAAAATAAAAAAAAAAAAAAAATGATGAAGTGGTAAAGATAAAAGAAAATACATCATTGGGAAAGGGGAAGATGTATCAAACTTTAATGCAGGTATTTCATTATTAGAGAGAAGGAGAAGACGTCAGATGATATATTTTGTCATGCAAATCATATTATACCAGTATAGTCAAATTAACACTTGACCAGTAACTAAAGTATGCAGAGTAATGTGGATGTCTATTGATAATTATAGGTGAAACATGTCTTTTCAGACAATAAGAGAGAGTTCCTGCCCCTTAGCCTTACTCCAGTCTCCCCACAGCATTGCAAATTAACTTATCTTCACAAGTGGGTCACATGTCAGTTGGAAAGGCAAAGAAATCAATAGCTAATTGTTCCGCTGAGAATGTCAAGGTCATTGATAGTTGTCCCTGGTGACATTGATTGGAGAATTTTGTCTACCTGTGCTTCATCTCATGCTGAAGGCATGTGTACAGTACACTAATAATTTACATCCATTTTACAAGACAAATTTAAGACAGACTATACACTGATAATGTACTCCATCACACACTGATAATGTACTCCATCACACACTGATAATGTACTCCATCACACACTGATAATGTACTCCATCATACACTGATAATGTACTCCATCACACTGATAATGTACTTCATCACACTGAAGACAGGCTATACACTGATAATGTACTCCATCACACACTGAAGACAGGCCATACACTGATAATGTACTCCATCACACACTGATAATGTACTCCATCATACACTGTAGACAGGCCATACACTGATAATGTACTCCATCACACTGATAATGTACTCCATCACACTGATAATGTACTCCATCATACACTGATAATGTACTCCATCACACTGATAATGTACTCCATCACACTGAAGACAGGCTATACACTGATAATGTACTCCATCACACACTGAAGACAGGCCATACACTGATAATGTACTCCATCACACACTGATAATGTACTCCATCATACACTGTAGACAGGCCATACACTGATAATGTACTCCATCACACTGATAATGTACTCCATCACACTGATAATGTACTCCATCATACACTGATAATGTACTCCATCACACTGATAATGTACTCCATCACACTGATAATGTACTCCATCACACACTGATAACAGGCCATACACTGATAATGTACTCCATCATACAATGATAACAGGCCATACACTGATAATGTACTCCATCACACACTGAAGACAGGCCATACACTGATAATGTACTCCATCACACACTGATAATGTACTCCATCATACACTGTAGACAGGCCATACACTGATAATGTACTCCATCACACTGATAATGTACTCCATCATACACTGTAGACAGGCCATACACTGATAATGTACTCCATCACACTGATAATGTACTCCATCACACTGATAATGTACTCCATCATACACTGATAATGTACTCAATCACACTGATAATGTACTCCATCATACAATGATAACAGGCCATACACTGATAATGTACTCCATCACACTGATAATGTACTCCATCCCACACTGATAACAGGCCATACACTGATAATGTACTACATCATACAATGATAACAGGCCATACACTGATAATGTACTCCATCACACT